ATGTGAGAGAGGACTTCAGCCTAAGGAAAAATGAAACACTTTTGAACGTTGACTGATATGAGTGGTTAGCATTCAAAAGAGAGAGAGGTTGGTTATCTCAAAATTGGGTGCATAAAATACATGCAGCCTTCACTATTTTGGCCTTACTCTCCATGACATTGTTTTCCAGTGGTGAGACTGGGCTCCGTATTGCGGTTTGCAGAGCTTCTAAAAGATCCCCCTGCAGCATTTGAGTCAGTATTCACATAAATGCCCTGGGAAGCCCAAAAAGGAAGTTGGCCATTTACTGCAGAATTTTCCTGGTAAAGGGCAGTGTTCCCCAGTCTCAACGTCCTGCCTGTCTTTCTGATTTTGCTCAGTGAGGGAGAGCTTCTGCTGTTATAATCCAGCAAAAATTTCTTGCTCATCAGTGAGAAAAGATTGGGAATGCAACAAGAGTCTTGCCTGCCCAGACTGTCTCTCTGTGGCTCCCAAGATATTCTGTGCCATTTCCTCCCTTCTTCATTGTCTGTTTTGCATAGGGAGGAACAGGTGTGCCACAGTTCTCGCATGTCAAATCAACACTGCTCTGCCTCAGGCTGTGGGGTGCTTTTTTGTTAGCTGTGAGACAAATAAAGCCTTTTGATTTCCTTAAAGGGTTTTGGGGAAACATCTTATTTCTCAGTGTCCTAGCACCAAGCAAACACACATCACCAGTCTGACCTCTCGAGTGCCCTCCAGTGAGATTGTTTCCAGGCCAAATGATTCACTGGCCAAATGATTAAATACGAGAGACATTCAAATGTCTCTCGTATTTAATGAGGGAGTTCCCAATCACACTGAGTTCTCAAAGGATTCAGGTTTCAGGAGTTCATCAGTGACCAAGAAGGCATGTTTACTATCTAAAAAAAAAAATATAAGCTGAAAAATTGTTCCTAGAGCAAAGGAGTCAGATTGAATCAAGACAAATTTTCTGTTCTTCTAAAACAATTTAAATTTGGTTTTCTGCAGCACAGCCTTGAAAGGTTACAGCACAGCATAGCTGAAAGGTATGGTGATACAAATGGAAAAGCTTACTCCTGATAATTTTACCACCACCAATGAAAAAGTTAATGCTGATGACTGAGAAGGAAGGGAGAACACAAGGAAGATCCAGTTCCCCACCTTCTTCCCAGGAAGGACCCAAGTCTCTCCTCTTTCCTTCGTGTCTACATAAATGCTAAACACCCTTCAAATAACCAGTGTTTTTGGCTTGTCACAGAAAAAATTATCCATCTCCCTGCATTATCAGGCTATTTTGAGGGACAGTGAGTGACCTATGAAAAATAAATCCTCAACCATGAAAATAACAGAGGAAACAAGCTTTATTTTTATTATTTGAAATTTTTGTGCGTGGTAAAGGTACACATTTGACTCTGGTTTTCCTACATTTCCAAGACAGATAATTTTTTTTTAAATTGTTGGCTAAAGCATCAAGAATACCGTGGCACACAGGAAGCTAAAACTACACACACACACACACACACGCACGCACACACACACACTAACACTAACACTTTGATGCGCATCTTTCATCCTTGACCTTAAGGAGACAAAGTTTGTATTTAGCCTCGCAGGGGTTTAAAAAAAGAACAGAAACAACCACAAAAGAAATCCAAGTGAGAAGAATATTTCATTAGGAGTGTCAAGAGAGTGCAAAGCTTACATGTACACAAAACATATGAGAATGGCTTACAAAGATGGAATGTACAAAAACTTTAAAAAAAAAAGAAAAAAGACAGAGTTACTCCTAGAACTGGAAAGCTGCAACGTATCAACTGGTAGAGGTTTCTAGCAGGGGCTACTGCCATACAGTGTGCAGCTTAGGGAACATTCCCGTGTCATAAAGCCAAAGCAAAGTGTCAGGGTTAAGGCCGTGTTGCTCACAAACATCAACCGAAGTGCTGTACATTCATCAGAAATAACACAGCCTGCAAGGGAGCCTCCTGCTTTGGGGCACAAATACCTTTCCCACAGTCTCCACAAACAGGCCAAAGCAACCACTGCTCACGATTCTTGAAGAAAATTTTCAATGTACATCATGATTTCATAACTGGCTGTCACCTACAACCGAAAGTCATTTCTTTATAGCAAACACAACATATTGGGCACTTGTAGTTCTCATTATGGCAACACTAGATCCTTAGTTATAAAAAATATTGACGTAAAATTGAAAGCCCTCTGGCTTTTACAGAACAAAAGAGCATTTACTAATAAATAACTCTCCACCTACATTAGGCAAATGCTTGCCTAAACCATTTTCATTTTCAGCTACATTGCTGCTGGTTTAGCCTGTGTAAAAATCCCCTACTGCTTATATTGAATTTATCCGAACAGATCCTTTTATTCTATTCACAAAACAATTAAAGTACCATTGGCTAGTTTGTCCTAAAATGCTCAAAATTACACAAGATCTGATAACCTTTTGAGATGACTTTTGAGTTGAAGATTAGTTAAACGAAGCACATACTTTCATCATTCGTGCTGTGCCGCTAGTCAATGGGCAGTCCAGGGAAGTCAAGGGAACATTTGGTTATACCTGAAATCTGGCAGCAGAATGCCTATAAAGCCTTTAATAAATGCTAACAACTCAGCAAATCAAGTAGTGCAATTTTGACGTTCACTTAATTGGATGAGAAAAGAATCTGTCAGCTTTTTAGAACAGAATTTCTGCTTTGGTTGCTCTTTGTAAAGTTTGTAAGCCAAGGATTTTAGCTGAGCTGGCTTCAGAAGCACACCATAAAAGCAATGTGTTTCCCCATTTCCCAGTGCCAGGCAGATAAGGTCAGACCTTGGAAGGCAACTCCCTATGCTGCTGAATTTGAAATTGTAGCTGGTAGCATATGCTATCAGAAGGAACTCCAAATTAGTGACATTTTTCAGGTGCAGTAAGTGTTGCTCTGGTGATAATGTCTGAAACCTCAATAGTATCTGAAAACCCAAAAGACTAATTGATCTTAAGAATAAATCCACATCACCCCTAACAGCAGCTAGCTGGGTTGTAAGGGTGTTTGTGCTGTATGAATAGTACAACATTAAGTGTATGTTTTGATATATAGGTTAGGGGTGATTCTTGGAGATTGATTTGGCAGTGTCTCCCAAGTGGAAACCATGCAAGTTTAGTAAAATATTACTATATAAATCTAAATTTGTAACTAGATTTGATTAATAGTATCCATAACTGACAGCAACAGCACATTTCTCATTTTCTTTTTTATCTCAAAGAATGTGTGCCACCTCTTTTCTTTGTTATTAAATACAGTTAAAATTCTATGTACCTTTTCTTCATTGATAAATTAAGCATTTAAGGGCATTCCAATGTCAGAAATCACTTGCCAGAAGGTTGCTTATAAGGACACTTAGAAAGAAATTACTTGATCATCAGAAAATTTGGTCTACATTTTTGTTAAATTTTGATAGGACAGTTTATCGTTCAGTGACTGAGGTATCATATTCAGAATTTTAGGACAAACTTAATTCAAGCAGAGGATATTTTGTTCTCTTGGTAATAACAGACTTGATTTTTTATCATCTCATAAATGTTACCGCCAGTTTCTTAGCTGCATTATATAGTCCAAAACTTAAGCCTTATACACAAAATATCTATTCCAATGAAATAAGGAAACTTTTCTTTACATGAGAATTTATAAATTGGCTCTATGTGCAAAAAATAAACAAGGGAAAGAAGAGGAAACATCTTTAAGAAACATCTTTAAAAAACAGACAAGCTCCACATTTAAGAATTTTGGGGTCCTCATTTTTACAAGTCAAATGCATCTTTACAAAAAAAAAACCAAAACACTAGTTTTTCTCAAATTCATTGAAACAACAACCTTAACCTCTTAGAAATAAGACAAATACTTATAACAAGTAATCTAACAAAGATATCTTTCAATTTGCAGACATGCTTAAACCACTCCCCTGTCCCTGACCCAATGCCCTTTTGTTTCAAGGCCCTAAAAAAGAGAAAAGAAGGATGGTACTTTCCAGGCTGTTGTGGGCATTGGCAGCCAGCTCACCAGCTCCTCACAGGAGGCTGAAGAGTGAGCACCACTCTGTCTATATTAGGCTACAGTAGCAGTCCATCCTTTGACCACTGGATTTAGAAGTAAGAATAACGGCAATGCTACTTTAAAAAGGACAAGTTGACACTTTTAAAAAGCATTAAAAACAGAACCAAGTTATACAGTTGTAAGCATTTCCAATTAAATTAATATTTAAACAAAGAATACAGTGGAGAGATGGGCAGGAAGAAAGAGAGACATTTTTCAGAGTAGTGCCATTGTCAAATGGCATGCATACGTTCCAGTTTGCTGAAATAACCTACATTTACTTTTTTAAATTATTTTTGTGTAAATCAGTCATACATACATACATACAAACAAATCTCACAGTCCTTATTTTGTCCTCTAACAAAATTCCCTTTGATGAAGGACTTCAGGAGTTGGTTCAAATTAATTCTTGTTTGTAATGCATTTTTTCTCATGTAAAAACAAATAGCTTTGGTAACCCTTGGCTTTCTTATACAACCTCTGTTTACCACAGTTCCTTTGGTTGCATAATATAGGTCCTCCATAGGGGTACCTCTCTGGCTTTCTGTCCTGTGTGATGCTGCATTTTATTTTATTGGTTAATATAATGAGTTGCCTTAAGGAAACATAGCAATGAACACATAGGAAAGAG